ACCAACTCTACCAGCTTTCTACCAACTCTACCAACTCTACCAGCTTTCTACCAACTCCACCAACTCTACCAGCTTTCCTGGGCCTCCGGCTTGTAGACGGCAAGATCCTGGGGCTTCCCAATCTCCATAATCACATAAGCCAAACGCTCACAATCTTTTTCTAGAGATCTATATAGAGATATATAGAGATAGAGACCTAATCCTATTGGTCTTGTTTCTCCGGAGAACCCTGGCTAATCCAATCCCTATATGACAAACAAAGCTACTTAAACTCAGAGGGACCAGGTGGCTGGCCTCTGGCCAGCCCATGATTGAAGAAGATTCAAACCTTCTGACTCAATTCCAGTGCTCCTCCAATTGCATGAGATGTGAGGAATGGCTTGACCATGGCATCATCCGTACATACCAAGTTCAGTACAATCATCACAGACAGACTGATTGGTTGACATTTCTGTAGTGTTGTTCTCTCTCATGACAGGCTATATTATGCTGTGTGGACAGACGACCCCAAAATCTCAGTGGCTTAAAACAGCAAAGGTTTATCATGCCATCACATGTTGGCTGGACCTCCAAATCCAGGTCTGCTCACTCTGGGACTGAGAGACCAGCAGCCATCTGAACATTGCCAGGAGCCACGTACAACCATTGGACAGAAGTGGTCACAAGATGCCACCCAATGAAGGGACTGGGAAGTGCTTCCCATGGTGGGTGGAGGGGCTGGAAATATTGGCAATTGGCTGTCACGGCCACCACAGTGGTTATCACTGTGCCAGATACTATATTAAGTACCTTACATTAAGCATATTTAACATTTTTAATACGCTCAAGGTAAATACTGTGATTATCCCCATTTTGAAGGTGAGAAACTGAGTCTTAGAAAGTTAAGCACCTTTCACAGGGTCATGCCAATTCTGTCAGATTCTAAAGTCCTTGCTCTTAACAAGAAATTGTTTATAATAGAAGCCATGGTGATTGTCGGTAGGAAAGAAGGTAGACTCTGCCAAACAGCATACAGGCCTGGGAGTGAGGGAAAGACAGTGAAATGAGGCTGCTCCTCTACCATGACCACAGCATCACCTGCAGGTAGCTCATAACTCTTCTCCTGTGCTCAGATCTCCAGATTCTGATTCCACTGCAGGCAAACACTAGAGACTGACATTTAGTATTGGCTCTCAAAACAACGGATATGGAAGCTTCTAGAAACAGCAGGGCCAAAAAACCAACTGTCAGGAACAGCTGTGCATTCATTCAGCAAAAACATCTATTGAATGGGGACACCTGGGTGGCTCAGTCAGTTAAGCATCTACCTTTGGCTCAGGTCCTGATCCCAGGGTCCTGGGATCGAGCCCCACATCAGACTTCTTGCTCAGTGGGGAGCCTTCTCCCTCTCCCTCTGACCCTCCCCCTGCTCATGCCCTCTCTCTCAAATAAATAAGTAAAAAAAAAAATCTTTAAAAAACAAAACATCTATCGAATGTAACTGGAGTAGGGCCCAGGGAATTCAGACCTGCTTAAAGGTATCTGATGAAATGGAAGAATCCTTAGACCAACAGAATTCAAGACCACCAGGTGATTTGCATGGGTCATTTGGGGAAAGATGGTAGATAAAAGGCCACAGGGGAGACAGATGAGTCAAACAAAGGGAGAATTCATAATGGCTAACATTTCTCAAGAATTTACTACGGGCCAAACCTACTCTAAGTACTTGTAATTACATGAATTAGTGATTGAATGCTTGCTTACTAGTAATAATGCTCTGAGGTTGGTTCACTTACTATTTTACAGAAGAGGAACCTGAGTACAGAGTGATGAAATGATGTAGCCAAGTCTTCAGCTAGAAAGTGGGAAAGCCAAGACTCTCCCCCAATCTAGCATCAGGACCCCACTTTCACCCATTATGCTACGCTGACTCCTTCTGCTCAACAATTGCTGCAAAGTGGGCTTCATAGACTGGGTTTTCGAGCTTTTACAGGGTGAGGGGTTCTAAGAAGAAAAGGAAGGGGCTCTTTCCAGGAAGGGCTCCCTGAGATCCTGAGGAAGGACAGTTTGGGAGAGGAAGCTTGCATGGCTCAGGTCTCCTAGAAAACACCTATTCCCCCCTTGGACAGCAGCACCATCCTGGCACCTCGAGGTCTGGCTGCCATAGGACAAAAGGAGGGGGACCTCAGCATGAGGCCTTGTTTTCTCACGGTGAGCCTCACGGGGGCAGTTGGTAGGTACCCACATCAGTAAGCACAAACCAGAAGAGCCTCTCTGGGGTGACTATAGCCAACAGATGGGGGAGCCCATGGAACACAATCTGCAGATCTCCTGAGTCTCAGGGACTCCTACAGACACCTGGAGCAGGTGAGGACTTTCTAGGAGGTGGGTGGAAACCAGAATTGAAATGACCTAGCCTAGTCGGAGGATGTTCTGTGTACACAAGAAATAAAGGAAATAATGTATGTGAAGTGGCTGGCACAGTGAAAGCACTAAATAAAAAGTGGTGCCCATGATGGCCGGGGGCAACAAGCCACGATAATGATCTAGAAGCACTAGAAGAGCATCTCCCAGCTTTTCAGCTCTCCTCCCTAGTTGCCCTTTTCCTTTTCAACCCCACTAATATGCATGCACACACACACACACACACACACACACACGGGCACCCACACACAAAGTAGGCAAGACCAGAGAATCCTCAGCTTTAGTACCAGAAGGGGAAAGAGGTTGCTCTATCATAGCCCAGGGATCAAAGCACGCCTCTAAAGCATGTTTGATAGGAGTAATTTAAATTACAAATTGAATATAATACCAGAGTATTAATCTCAAAGGAAAGGAGCATGCATGCACATGCACGTGACAGACTAGTCTGCCCCAAAATGATGGATGTGACATTTGGACAAACTATGTCAAAAGATAGTCCTTTACCAAAAATGTCATTGCAGACTCAAGTCCTCTAGCCCTAGCTTTGGGATCATTTTTCTCCTTGTAGTTTGTGCTTGCTTCCCATGCTCAGGCCACGTGGAAGTGAATTGTTGCAATTACAATCCCCCGTGCCTCCAGGAAAGATGTATTCACGTCCTGATTCTACAGCATGAGAAGTTGGGTTTTTTTTTCTCTGACAATAGTGAGTATTGCCAGCAGTGCTTTATTTTGGGGCTCACAGTGCAGAGAAGGGGTACAGCCTATACCCAGAATTTTAACAGCCACGCCATGGCCCTTTCGTTCCTGCACCTCCAAGAGTGTTACTGTTCTTTGGGAAAATGATGAGCCAGGGTGTGTTGCAAACCATCAGAGGCCAAGTGAACAGAGGAGCTGACATCACACCTAGGAACATCCTCATTCCTCACCCTGCTCTCTTTGCCACATTATGTAACTTCAGAGGTGGTAAAAATGATGACAATGTAGGAGGGAAACAGTGGAAAGGATTTATCTTTTTAAAAAAGAAAGCTAAAGAGGACATAGTAAACTTAAAAGGAAATTTGTGCAGAGCTTAGCATCTTTGCAGAGGCTGTGATTTAAAGGTTTTTTTAAGTCCTCACACCTGAAGTTCTCTGTATGAATAGAGTGCTCTGCCTCTAGGTCAAGTGTCTGTGATTGCCACCGTGTCTCAGATTCAGACCTGCTATCCTTTCAGAAGGGGATAGAATTTGATTTCAGAATTAGGGCAGAGACTGCTAATGCCTACCCAATAACCACGTCCCTCATCTTTGTTAGTGACAGACGCCCACCGTGGTTTAAAGTAGCAACACATCTGTTGAAACCTCCATTTGCCAACTTTCCTTGTATCTAGTGGTGGCCAAACAACAAAGTTCTGGAGACACAGTGGAAATGTTGGTGGAAACCTGGGAAAGCTCCTTAAAAGTAAATGCAAGCCCTTCTTCTTCTCTTCATCTTTCCTGTTGCCCAAAATGCAATGGCTGGAGCTCCAGCAGCCATGCTGCTTCCAGCAGTCATGAACAGGAGGTGACCTTGAGCAGGCAAGCTAGTGTGTGGATCAGGGACACAAAAGGAATGGGGTCCCAGATGACTATGTGGAGCCAATAGGGCAACCTACCTCCAGAAAGTTCTCATGTGAGAGAATAAATCCTGGGATGGAAGAGAAAATTAATCCATTGATGTCAGGTCTCTGTAACTCACAAGTAGGTACAAGTATTAATTTCTATCACCATGTTTATACGTGTTTATAGATTCACTTCTACTTGAGAAATGCCAGCTACAAGTTTTCCCTTGCATGCAAACTTCCCTTTTCTTAACTAGCAGGTATTCGCACAGATTCAAGCCTTACCAAGAAGCTTGTGCTCCACAGCATTCCGCAGGGACTGGTGCCTGAAGTACAGGAGGCCATTGGGCTTCTCCTGGACCCACTGTCTGGTGGCATTGCGGAAGGCAGCCCAGTGCAACGTGGTCACCTTGTAATGATCTCTGTAGCCCAGCATGTCCAAAATCTGGAATATCTCATCCTCAGTCAATCCACAATGTGAGATGCTCAATAAGCACAGAGCATCGACCACCCAGCCATCCAGCACTGTTAAGAAAACGTAATGACAATGATGACAAAAAGAAGAGTTCCCATCTGCCAGGCATCATTCTAAATGTTTTATACGACTAACAACTTTTCTTTTAATCGTCTTATAAGTAGATACTACCTAACTCTCCTGTCTTACAAATAAGACAAATAAGGCACAGAGAGGTTAAATAACTTACCCAGATCACACAGAAATAAGTGCAGAATGTGGATTTGAGCACAGACAACCTGGCTTCAGAGCCCAGACTTTCAGGCATTAAGTTATCATCTACATTGTCCCAACTAATACATCCATGTGAGCTACGGTTCCAAACTGGCAAGCTGGCCCATTATGATACTACTAAGCAGTCTTTCTTGAGATTCACAAACATCAAATTTGCATGTATGGGTATGAATGGTTTTTCTGTGTGGTTGGTCTCTTGCCACATTCACAGATACCACTCGAAGCAGCTATACACATGACTCACCTGACCCTTCGATTTTTCAGCCAGAGCTGGATTTCCCACTGGCTTTATGGTCAAACAACTCAAAAGAGACCCTTAAGGCCATTGAGAGAAACGACAGTGTCTGTCATTCTAAATGGACTTCCTGTACTAGGATTGGGGCATGCATCCCAAACACCTGCAATTGTTAAGCAGAGGCAGCTGCTCAGCCCCAGCCGTGCAAGCTTCTTCTGAGGTTGACCCGAGTTTGACCAAGTTCTTCTTGGACCTGTGGCTGAGTGCCCTGGACTTGAGGACGGGTCAGTGGGCAGTGCTATCAGGAGGAAAGTCAGCCAGGGAAAGGAGTAGTCCCTCAGAAGAAGGGGGCCTGGGCTTTCCTGCACAATGCTGGACAACAAGGGACAGCCATGGGCACAGCCATGGGTCACTTTGCTTGTGTGACCCTTCTCAGGGCACAAAGACCTTTTTTTCACCTCTTTGCAGGTGGGGGAGGGTACACTAAATTTGCCATCAATTTTATTTGCAGAAATGCATACTCTAGAGCAAAAAATGGGGCAAGACAATATGTTGTCATGCCAACCAATATATCTCTCAGTCCAAGCATTTTCTGCTTCTTTCCCCACCCCCACGTCCCCATCCCTGCTCCATTCTAAATTCATCATCCTTCAGAGAAGGTTATTGTAGCAGAAACTCAAGTTTCAGAAAAGAATTTTTAAGCTCATAGCAGAGATAACAGCCTTGAGAATAAACTTTCCTTCTCAAAAGACTGACTCTTGAATATCAAAAAACAAACTCCTGACCAACACATGGAAAAAATTTTTAACCACAAACAACAGACTCAGACAGTTACAGGCTGAGCTAAGGAAGACTGAACCAAGAAAGGTGGAGGAGACAGAGAGGAAAGAGAGCAATGGAGCTGCTCGGGTGGGTTTCTGTGAAGGGGCCTGTGCTGTCCCCGCACCCAGGCTGTGAGCAGGGAGAGAGGACCCACCAGACAGACGCACTTGGGGACCCAAGAGCACAGAGAGCCTGCACTCTGCTTCCCATTGGAAGCCTAGAAGACAGCAGCTCTGCAGATCTCCTGTTGCCCTCACAACCAGAGAGCAGAAATCACTATGTGGAGACCTACAGAGCCAGGAGCTCCAAGCGTGCAGTGAGCAACCAATGTGCTCTGTCACGAATGTTCAGTACCCACAAGCCTACCTTCTGTAGGCTCCAGAAGGGTGCAGATGTTAGTGGAGGAGAGGGGCCTCCTCACATTAAGATGAGGGAAAGTGGTGGCTGATGGCAGCGTAGAGCAAACAACTCAAGAACAGATGGGAACACAGGCGTCTTAGAGGATGCCAAAATTGGAGGAACGTCAGTATCTGTGGACCATATGGGGCCATGACCACCTCAGCGGAAGACAGCAGGGACAGATGACAACCGAGGACACCCAGCAGCAAGGCCCTCAGATTTAAACTCAACCCAAAAGAGACACAGGAAGGACACAAATCCTCGCTTGACTGAAAAACACCCTGAATTGTCTGAAAACAAGCTAAATTGATGGAATTAACCTAGATTAACTGAATTAGGTTTCTGCCATCACTTGGACTATAGGCTCAAAAGAATTGAGTTATAGAAATAATAAAAGCCAGGGGCGCCTGGGTGGCTCAGTCGGTTAGGCATCTGACTCTTGGTTTTGGCTCAGGTCATGATCTCAGTCCTGAGACTGAGCCCTGTGTAGGACTCTGGGCTCAGCACAGAGTCTGCTTGTCCCTCTCCCTCGCTCCTCCCTCTCTCCCTCTCTCTTTCATTTTCTGTCTTGCTCATAAATATTTAAAAAAAAAAGAAAGAATAAAGGCCCATTTCTTAGACTCCTGAAAAACGTGCCTAATACAATTCTCTTTACAGTCAACACAGAGCTCCCAACACAGGGTTGTTGGATTTAGCAAATTAAAATACAGAGCATGCAGTTAAATTTGAAATTCAGATAAACAACAAATTGATTTTTAGTATAAGTATAGCTCATGCAATAATTTGGGATATACTTCTACTGGAAGTATTTATCTGTAATTCAACTAATTTTTAGTATAAGTATGTCCCATGCAATAATTGAGGCATGCTTTTACTAAAAGATTATTTGTTCTTTATCTGAAATTACAATTTAACTGGGCATCCTGTATTTTCTCTGACAACCTTATCCTTAGACCCTCCTCCTCTGGGTCGTTCACCATACATCTTTCTCCCCATGGCTCCCCATGCATGCCCCAGCTGGTTGTCAAACTGGCCAAGGCCTACCTTCTCCTGAAGGCACTGTGTCTGAATTGGCCCTTTTTGGTATGCAAGTCCAGCTATAGTCTTCAATCCAGCGTATCAGAATCAATTCCCAGAGCTCCTGAATAGAGACCACCTCTAAGTACTCCTTCAGACACTGATACTCATCTCGGTAGATTCTACATTCTCTCAGCTCATTTGCTAGGATTGTGAGTTTTAAAGGATTCAGGTTTGTTCTTTTCCTCAAAGTGTGTTTGCTCTGTCGGAGCGGGTCTTTGTTGGGAATGAAGAGATACTGTTGAAAGATGTTTAGTTTCACTTCTTCGTCTCCTACACTTGGGAGCTCCACTGTCCTCACATCCGGGCGGGCACACAGCGACTTGTAGGACAAGCTGGAGGAGACAGTGCTCATGATAAATTTGCAATGAGGAGGCAGTAAGCATGGCAGCCAAGAGAAATCTTTTGCCTGATGGAGAAAGTCAAAGACATTGGGAATCTTTAAAGACCTTAAAACTCCTTTGCTGATGGTTTTTAAACTTAGAGTAGCTGGAATAGAGGGAGTAAGTACAGCGTAAAGGCTGGGGTTAAGGTTATTAACAGTAAGTTGGATAGCAAACAATATGGTGATTAAGGAAATACCCACTCTCACCCCACAGAACTGTATTTGACTGACTCATCCGTTTTGAATTTGATAGTACAAACGCGACCTCTAAAAAGAGATTCCTACAAACAAGTAATCCGACAAATCGTAGGCTTCTGAAGAATGACCTACAGTGATGGCCAAAGGAAACCTAACAGTACAAACTGGACCATTTGATTGAAAAGGGGAACACTGTTTTACGCTGAAGAATCGTTGCTTTATACCGCAATACTATCGTAAGTTAAATGGCTTTATTTCGGAATAAAATAAACACCTAATCAGATCTTTTTAGATTCCTTTAACAGCTTTTCCCACCCCTCGCCACTACCATAATAATAAGAGCAACTATCAAACACTGACCACTTACTCTGAGCCCGGCACTGTGTGGGATGTGTCTTCAGGTACTAACTGTATTAGTTAAAGATTTTTATTTTTTGTGTCTTCTGATAGTTTGCCATCTCTCAGGGGCCTTACAGATCCAGGAGAAACTGCTCCTCCCAAGACAAGTTAATTCCTGGGGGTGATGGACAGCTTGCCTGGAACATCCCTGTCATGTGCAGACCAGCCAATCCAAGACCATGCCCCCCACCCACCTTCTTATCTGCCTTTCACTCACCAACCCAATATTTCCCTGACCTACATCATCCCAGGGCCAGGGACCAGACAACCAGGGACAGTCCCTATGCCACAAAGCCTGCTGGAATTGTACAAACTAGCCAATCCTGAATGGTTTACTCTGCTTTTCCCACGGGAACCCCCATAAAGGCTTTGGCCTGGGCCTTCTCCTGGCTCCTGTCTTCCGCCTCCTGGCCACTGTGATACTCCCCCCGGGGCCCTGTATGACATGGTGTGTCTCCTTCTCTTGGGAAATATAAGTCATAATTTCTTCTTTCAATGGCACTGGCTTCTCCATGTTGTCAGTCAGTCATCCTCCTGTAAATCAAATCCCAGGTATAATTTTAATACACCAACTCATTGAGTCCTCCTAACAAACCTCTAGATAGGCAGAGGAGGAAACTGCAAAACAGAGGGGCTAAATGTCATATCTAATTCATTCTGATAGTACGCAGCAGAGCTGGGGTTGAAACCAAGGGTCTGGCTCCCCAGGCAGGCTCCTAACCACTGCACTACACTGGGGCCGGTAACAACCTAGACAGTCCCTTCTCCTCCCACACAGCTCTGCCTGGAGCCCTTCTTCCAGGGAGCCTTCCCCAAAGGCCAAGTCCCTTCATTAGAAGCTCTCACGACACTACATACTGATCCTTGGCAGCCCTTGTCACAGTTGCAATCATACTTATTTGTGTAATTGCATCATTAACATCTGCCATCCCCTGCTAGAACGAAAGCCCCATTTGTTTGCAGGGACCATGTCAGACTCCGCTTACAGTGCTTTTCCCATACTGAGTGGTCAATAATTACTTGTTGAATTGATGGTGCCTGCTGTGTATTAAATTAAGAAGCAGATTACAAAATAATATGGTGTGTAATTTCATTGACATAAGCATCAATGAGTGTGTATAGACATCCATAGGAAAAAAGAAGGCTATACTCCAAAATGCTGAACAGTGGTGAGACTATGAGTATGCTTAACTTTCTGTGTTCTTGTTCTTTATCATATTCTCTATAAGAAACATAGATTACTTACATAATGTACAAGTCCATGTGTTTTTAAGTTTTAGAGAAAATGCTTCACAAAGTAATGACCGATACTAAGGTGTATTAGAGGTTCCACGGATCCAATATCATCTCCAATGGGATAAAAACTAAAGAGCAACCAATTTGATATGTGCAAAATCAGTGTAGATGAGGCAGATAAAAATATACAACATAAAGAAAATACTAGGGGCCCAACAAATGCTTGATAAAAGTGTAAAATAGGGAGGCAGGGGGCAGAACCAGGCGGGAGTAAAGGCCACAGTTTCTAGAACCAGACTGCCCACCTCTGAATTCTGAGTCTACCATCATCTTCAGATGTCCTATAAAGCCACCTAACATCTCCACACTCCATTCCCTCTGTGTAAACAGGGACGATGATCACAGTCTCTCTTTCATAGGCTTCTTCTGAGACTTCTATCCGTTGATATTTCTAAAGTTCCTAGAAGGGTGCCTGACCCACAGTAAGTGCCACCACAGAAGTGTTTGTTCAAGGAAACGGAGAGCAGTAACCATAAGCAATGCTGGCTGCAGCTATAGATAATGCAATGGAAAAATGTTACGGACATTCTAAATTATGGGGTTTTTTTAAATAAAATAGCAATAAAATAGGCATTATTTTTAAAAGAGATTACCTTCTGTCCTGAAATCCCATAAATGCCAATCAATTCTTCAATTCCATCCAGGACAAGTATACATGGCTTTAAACTGATGGAAGCAATGAAGACTTCCACAAGAAGTGAAAAGACCAACACATTTGAGTCTTCATCAAGAAGATCAGTGTCAAGCTGAGTACCTAGAGCACAGGAATTTGCTCAATTTAGGCGAAAATGTCTCCATCACCGCTAGAATATGTTAATGGGATGGGGAGGCGGAAGGGGCTGAGAACTGTGAGTGCCATTCACAGCTGTACAGCTGACATATATAGGTGTGTGTGTGATTAGCAGCCTAAAAATACTCAACCCGAAAGGGATGATGATATTTACCAGATGTCTCCTATACATTTTCAGGATTTTATATAAAAAATATTTTGTATGATCCAAAGCATTACTCTTGTTCTCCAAAATGCAAAAATAGACCATGTTACAAAGAGTTGGATGGGGAGGAAGAGAAGTCTACATGGTCTGTGAAGTTTCTGCAGCTCTGTAACGTCAGGGGGCACTTTAGGGGCCTCAGCCACCACCCCCAGGTGGTCCTCCCCCTGGTGCCTAGACTCTTCACTCCTTGCCCACATTAAACCTGACATAACCAATCCTAAATTACTCTACCCACAATATTGGACCCCAGACCTTGAATTCTGGAAATTATCAGGGAGAATTAGGTAATGAACCAGCAAAGGGTACAGGATGTAATACGAGGACCACTTTCAAATTCTGGTCAAGTGACATTGTAGTAGCGACCCAAAATTGTAATCAGCTACCTAATACTCTCTTTTCTTTTAAGATTTATTCATTTATTTTAGAGAGAGAGAGAGAGAGAATGCATGTCCCGGGGATGGGGGCTGGGGGGGAACAGAGGGAGAGAGAGAGAATCTTGAGCAGGTTCCATTCCTAGCCTGGAGCCTGACACGGGGCTCGATCTCATGATCCTGAGATCACAACCTGAGCCAAAACCAAGAGTCTGACGCTCAACCAACTGAACCACCCAGGCGCCCCTCAACTACCTAATATTCTAAGGATATTTTACTATATACAACTTTGATCGTGCTTTTATTTTTCAAAGGCAACATTTCCCATAGAAATTTAGGCATATTAGAATCTAGAAAACCAAGTTATGTAAAGAAGCTTTAATGGATTTAGTCTCTCAGATGCATTAAGATTCTCTTAGAAGCACTGAGAGTAATTATGTTTAACAACTACTTACTGGCTGCCTGTTATGTGCAAGGTGCTGTGCTAGCTGCCAAGAGGAGATAAAATAATCTATAAGATAAAGGAAGGGAAGTGAAAATGGGTTCTGTACACAAATAACCACGTTTGAAGGCAGAATATGAGTCTGAAGGTTACTGGAGTTTGATGCAGAACCATCATAATAAGGAAAAGTTTCGTGCAGAAGACATATGAGATGAGCCTTGGAGAATGCACAGGTAGAGATGAGGGCAAGGGTATATCAAGCAAAACAAGGCAGAGGTGAAGGTCTGGAGGAAGGAAAGTACATGAACATTCAAAAAACAGGAAGTTGATTAGAGCAATGGGACTCAACAGGGGAGGCCTGGGGATTCTAGACGTCCTACAACATAGGACATTCACGCACAATGACGCTGTGTCCTGGGGTCTACCTGACTTTCAAATGTTCTGTCAGTCACATAAGGGGGGGAACCTTACCAATTTACTTCACCTAGAAACCAACTCCATTTTCATGTAAATGCAAAGTAATTTGCACAGATTTAAAACACATAGAATTTTCTAGGAATACAACTATCAGATAAAGTGATGGAAGATTATATATTGCTTCATCTGAAATGATACCAAGATTTGTTCGCCACTTCAGAAAATCATAGCCCTGATAGGAATATTGCTCATAATGCTTGAACCTTGAATATAACACACCAGTGCCAGTCTGTGCTAACAGCTATCACTTCCATGGTCATTTTCCATAGAGAGGCAGGCACCTGCCTACTCCACTGTGACCTCCGCCAGAACCATGTCTGAGCGTTTACATATTGAAAAACATGTTATTTTATAATAAATTACTTTATCTTTCTCCTTTACATTGTAGTAGAGGGTAGTGTGTGTCTTCTTGTTATTGAGGTAGAAATTACATAGAGTATTACATTAGTTTCAGGCATTCAACATAATGATTCGATATTTGTATACACTACAAAATGATCACCACAGTTAAGTCTAGTGACCACCCAGCACCACACAGATACAAAAACATTTTTTTCAGGGCATCTGGCTGGCTCAGTCGTAGGGTATGTGACTCTTAATTTCAGGGTTGTGAGTTCAAACCCCATGTTGGGCATGGAGCCTACTTAAATTATTTTTTAAAAAGAATTTAAAATAAATTTTTTTTCTTATGATAAGAACTTTTAAGATGTACTCTTACCCACTTTCAAATATGCAGTACAGGATTATTAACTATAGTCACCATGCTATACATAACATCACCGGGACTTACCTAACCTACAACTGGACATGATTTTTAAATATATTTTTGTATTAGCAAATGACCATAAAATTAATGACTTGAAGGTTATATATGAATGTGAGACATAAAGGAGGAGAAGAAATCAAAAAAGATAGGGGCACCTCTCTGGCTCAGTCAGGGGAGTGTGCAACTCTTGGTCTCGGGGTCATGAGTCCATACCCCACGTTGGGTGTAGAGATTACTTAAAAAAAAAATAAAAGTCTTAAAAAAAAAGATGGTTTGTGCTTGTGTCACACAATGAAAAATATTTTTCAAGAACCGGAAGAGAACAATTAATCTTGGTGCTTCATCCTTTCAGTTTTTTGTAAGTTTTTTTCCCCAAAATTTTTAACGTATGGGTAATATCGAGACTTCAGGCCTTAAGTAACTGAAGTATAGAGCAGGAGGATTCTGGAAATCATGTAGTCTAGTCCAAATCCTCATTTTGCAGGTAAGGAAACAGGCCTAGGAAGGTGGAGAAACTTGAACACACATCAGTGAGAGCTTTAAAAACACCGATTTGGCTAATAGTTTTCTTGCAAACAACATATCATCATTTAAAGGTTACTCCATTTGAGTTTTCAAGCTCTGTGGGTCATCACCAGTGTGTATGATTCACCAGCACTCATATGTGGAAGGCATGCACTGCTCACCTCTTGCATGAAGCTGGTACAGAGGCTAAGTAACAAAACGGAGGTGAATGAACCTCAGAAAATACACACAGCCTCACAATCATAAAGCATAATATCACTCAGAATAATCAGCAAAAAAATAATCCCAGACAAAAAAAAAAAAGGAAAAAAAAAAAAAACCTCAAGGAAGATACTTACAGATTGAGATCTATGTACACAAAGGAAAGCATTGGTTCAGTGTTTTTAAAATCCCATTTGGGGTAATTTAAATTATTTTTCCTCAAAATAATATTGAAGATAGAATTACTAGCAGTGGAAAATGATCCTAATGTCTCTTTATTCTGTTAGGGCCAAACTGTCTCTACTCAATGACAGTGGCCTATTGCCTAATTTAAATAGTAACATCTCAAGTGTTCAAAGACCCAGTCAGGATAGGTAAATTTATGGGGAGAGAAAAGAAGTCAGTTGATACCGTTTCAAAATACCTTGCAACGAAATGACTTAGTGATTGATTCTTTTCAGTTTGGGGCAGTGTTATCTCTTGCCATTCCATAAGGATTTATGGAGGAACTTCCGTATTAGTCAGGCCCTGTGTCAGGCACAGAGTGGGAAAATGTCCAGTAAAATAGACATGGCTCAAGGACATGTTATTTTTGATATTGTTTATATGCGTGAGTATAATGTTTTTATTATTTTTAAGCTAAGTTTTTTTTCTTACTTGTTTGAAAAAATGAACTTCTCTGTGCCACAGTAAGAAAAAAAAAATAGACACGGCTCCTTGCACTCCCAGGACTATAAAAGGATATATAACACAAATAATGACAGGACCATGTATAAGTCATGGGGGACCAGGACAACAAGCTCACAGTCCTTGAAGGGAGACACCCACATAAACTAAAATACAATGGGACCGGGGCTATCCTTGCCACTTGACAGTTGGAGGTGAAGGAGAGAGGCACCCATCAGGCTCTCTCATTGAGAGGGTGCTCTTTATTATTTTTTTAAAGATTTTATTTTTAAGTACTCTCTACACCCAACATGGGGCTCAAACCCATGACCTCGAGATCAAGAATCACATGTTCCACCGGCTGAGCCAGCCAGGTGCCCCGAGAGGGTGCTCTTTAAAATAGGACTGGGGTGCCTGGGTGGCTCAGTTGTTAAGCATCTGCCTTTGGCTCGGGTCATGATCCCAGGGTCCTGGGATTGAGTCCCACGTCTGGCTCCCTGCTCTGCGGAAAGCCTGCTTCTCCCTCTCCCACTCGCCCTGCTTGTGTTCCCTCTCTCGCTGTGTCTCTCTCTGTCAAATAAATAAATAAAAAATCTTAAAAAAAAAAATTAGGGCTTAAGGGAGAAGGATTTCAACTGACCTGAGAAAAGGGAGGGGCCTTCCTGTAGAAGGGAACGGAAGCGGACAGACAAGGAGGGACCAAAGTGACTAGCTGCTCCAGGGAGACCAAACCCATTGTGCAAAAGGCCAGAGACCCTGGTGAAGGCAGCCGGGCCTAGGGCACAAGGCTTGGCAAGCCCTGCCAAGAAGTCCCGTTAGTATTTCTGTTCATTCCACATCACTGATTTGAGGGCAGACTCGCCTGGGAGCTGATGCTACGAGAGGACCCCGATGGAAATCATTCAGAAGAGCAAAGTGTCCCTCTATTGGTTCAAGGAGGCAAGACAGGGCAGTAATGAGGACGAGGGGCCTGGAGCTCGGCAAAGACCTGGTCTGAAGCCCTGCTCTGCCCACACGTAGCTGCGTGAGCCAGCCTCTCTGAGCCCGTCTCTTTATCTGGGGCGAGAATGCTGGATGCTGACAGCATTAAATAAGATGCTGATAAAGCCCTTAGCACAGAGCCCGGCACTCAGAAAGCTAGTTCAGTAAATGGAACTCATTGTTCTTCGGGCTGCCGCTGGGCTCTGGGGGTAACAGGGCGAGGAAACAAGTAAATAAGAAAGTCAGTGGCTCTCTCCTGACCTTCTGTGAAGCGTGTCACAGAAAGAACATCACCAGCCTGCGAGGCAGGCGAGGGGCGTGGGAGTAGGGAGAGCGGACTCCAGCCCCTTCTTTTTTTTTAAAGGTTGGAAGTCTATTTTTTTTTTTTTTTTTTGACAGATAGAGACACAGCGAGAAAGGGAACACAAGCAGGGGGCGAGGGAGAGAGGGAAGCAAGCTTCCCGCTAAGCAGGGAGCCCGATGCGGGGCCCTGGGATCATGACCTGAGCCGAAGGCAGATGCTTAATGACTGAGCCACCCAGGCGCCCTACTCCAGGCCCTTCTATCTGCAAGATCCCTCTCTCCAGGCAGGCAGGGGTGAGGCCAGAGGAGCAGAAATGTGAGCTGCACGGGGCGGGGGGGGGGGGGGCGTTCCGATGTCCCTTTTAGGGAGGGCGCCCTCGGGAGCTGTGGCTGTACCCCGCTGAGGGGGCCTCAGCCCCCAGAGAACGGCTCTGCAAAGAAGCCGAATGTGCTCCAAGCACTTGACCTCATGTGCTCCAAGCACTTGACCTCCAGGCCAGCTGTGTTCTCAGCAGCAGCTCCTCCTCTTCTGCCCACATCCACCTCACACAGGTGAAACCCAGCTTCCTGGTTCCCGCTGCCAAGCTGAGTGCTGAGTGCGGTGCTTCCCCTCAGCCTCCTCCCGCTGTGGCTGCAAACTCTCCTGCATTGCCTGCCCCACCCCGCCGCGCCCCACCCCCCCGCCCCCGCCAGTCTAGCTAAGGAACAGAAGTTTCTTGTTTCCCTTAGCGGGCCCCCTCTCTCTGCCTCTTTCTCTAGCTCAGTGAGGAATAATAATAATAACCACAACAACAATCATACTAACAGCAACCGTGTGCCAGGGACTCTTTTAAGTCCTTCACCTGTAGTATCTCTTACTCCTCACACAGCTTTATGTACATACTGTCAGTCCCACCCCTACCTTGCAGATGAGAAATCGGGGCGCACGTCACTTAAGCAAACTGCCCAAGAGCACACAGCTAGTAAGTAGCAAGGCCAGGTTGGAAGATGCAGGTGGGCCAAGAGCAGAAGCCCAGCCCCTGCCCTTGGCCTCGTGCTGTTAATGAGGTGGGGGTATCCTTTGAGGGACACAAGGTGTCGCCTGAGTGTCTGCTATTCACAGGCTGTTCCTGAATTGATTCTACTTTGTCAACTTCAAGATCCGTTTGTTTTGAAGACAGCAGCTGTTTTTTCAGGAGCTTTCAGTACCTAAAACCACACTCATTAAAATCACAATTCGCTTTGGGAATAAAATCATAATTGGGCACGTTCGGTTGAGTTCGTCTCCTCAGTCTGGCCAGACTGAACCCCCTTGGGCTGTGGCTGAGCAGGATCAGTGGTTGTCTTCTAGAACCAGTCACACCTGCTGCTACTGATTTTGATTTTACCCACTGTACACGCCCTGAGAAATGCAACCGCAGAGAACTCATGCCCACGTGTTTACCCTATTTACTCACAGACACATGCACACACACGCACACATACACACTCACACAAAGGAGCTCAAATATCTGTCCCATCATATAGAGATAATACACATCCATCAAAACTCATTCTGAGCCCCACATACCCACTCAATACCCAAATGCACGCTTGGCTACAAGCCCCACGGGAGAAGGGACGAGTTCCCAAAAGCAGGTGGGGTCAGACACGCAAATACACAGCAGACACCCATTAATAATAATAGCTGCTATTTATCAGTGCTTACTCTATGCCAAGCACTGTGCTAAATGTCTTTATTTCTCATACTTTACCTTAGTTAATCTTCTCAACTACCTAAAAGACATTTCTTTTATTACCCACATTTTACAAACTGGGAACATGGAACCACAGAGAGTTACAATAACTCACCGAAGCTCACACGGCTAATAAGTAGCAGTCGGGCTCCCCAACCTCCTAGAACAGAGGGAGATCCCCCACAATTGTTAACATTCCCCCATAGACACCTTGTATCTTAACTCTCTCTCATCCAAAGCAGAACTCTTTTGATTCCCCTCAAAACCTGCAGTCCCCACCCGCTATCCCCATATTGAGATAATGCCCCATCTCAGTACACAGCCCTCACCATCTGTCTAGCTTCCCAAAGCTGTCCTCAACTCCTCCTGTCCTTCAAGCGCCACATGCAATTCCTCAGGAGACTCTCAGTCCAGCGAAAGCCCTCCACCTCCTCTGTTCCCACCCTCCCCAAGTCCCCGTCATCGCTTGCTTGGACCACTGCAGTAGCCTCTAACAAGCCTCCATACTTGCTCCCCTACATCCATTTTCCATACATCAGACTGACTTTATTTAATCTTTTCAAGATATCAATCATATCTAGTATCATTCCCCTGGTTAAGATCCCCCACTGGCCTCCCACTGTACTCAGCAGAATCTGACCTAACATTCTGTGCAACAAAGCCCAGACCCGAAGTGCCCTGGCCTTCACCTCCTGCCAGCCACACTGGCCTGCTTTCCTTTCTAACTCACCTTTGTTTCTGGCTTAGGACCTGTATTACCTTAACTGTTCTCTCCTCCTGGAACGTTCTAATCTCCACATGGCTAGCTCCTCCTTGTCCATGAGATGTTCCCAGAATATAGCAGAGATAGCTACTTGTCCTGCAAAAGTCCACACTTCCCCTTCCGGGGTGGGGTTAGCTTTCTGTCCCCACTTGACTCCCAGTGTGGCCATGTGGGCCCATGGCGGCCAAGTTCCTGCCAAAAGAATGGCAGGGGAAGTGATCTGGATTGCTGCCAGGCTTTGGTGTTAAAGGAACGGGTGTGCCTTTTTCCTCTTCCACTAGCCAAAGGCAGAGGACTCTGAGGCTCTAGGGGATGACACAGTCTCAAACACAGCCTCGTTTACAGGGAAAAGGCCTGTGTCCCCAAATCATCACATGGAAGAAAGCCACTTGTTACCTAACTTAAGAACCCCTTACTGGATTGTTCCATGAGTGAGAAACAGACTTCATTCAAGAAGCCACTGAAATGGGACTTAGTTGTCACCACAGCTAGAGTTATTCTAAGACAGAGACGCAGCCCTGGACCACTCAACCTAACTAGCACCCTGTCACCTTATCACATCACTCTGCATGGCGTTTATCACTATTTGTTGCTTATTTGTTATCTGCCTTTCTCAACCAGAACATCGTTATCTGTGGGAGCCATGACCTTATTTTCCTGAGGCGGACATCCCCAGAACCCAGGGAAAGTGTCTGGCACAGAATAAGCAACCAATAAATACTTAGCAATGGGTGACTGAATGAGCACGTGAGTAAATGAACATGCTCAAGAAACAGTTACGGAGTCCAATAGGAGGAGCAATAGTTGGGAGGCACATCCTGCCATGGAGGCCTTGCACTTGTCTCCCTTGACTGGAATGTTATCCCTGAGATACCTGCTTGGCGCCCTCCTTCAGGTATGTATTCAAAGGTCCCTTTCTCAGGGAGGCTTCCCCAGGCCACCCTTTTCAAGTCCTAACTGTTCTGACACACACCACACACTACCTCCCTTCTGGTTCTGTTTTATTTTTCTTCATAGAACTTACCATCCAACCTTCTGTATTATGTTTTTAGTTGGTGAACTCTTTGTCTCACTCACCCCAATAACATAAAAACACCATGAGGGTAAGGACTTTTTTGTTCACTCTTGCATCCCTACTGCCTAGTGCCCTGGCACATAAAGGTACTCAATTAATATTTGGTGAAGGAAGGAAGTATGAAAAGAAAGAAGGAAATTGAGCTCTGGGAGGGGAAGAGGTGGGAGACAATACAGGGTTTATACCAGAACAAGAGGAAATCAGCTGTAGGAACAGCAGACAGAATATCTAATCTCTAACAAAATTCTCCAAAGTTAAAGGCTTGATTCTAGTACCATAGTTTTTGTACTGTAATTCTGTGATGAAGTAATGTATCACGGACATGATGTCACTGCTTTCACAAGTGCTGCCCACAAAATGAGGGATCATCAACATGCTGGGGTATTTCTTTTTGAAATAATTCACCCAGTTGGCGATCAGAGTAGACTTCCCACAACCACGTTCTCCAGACAAGAGTAAAATAGACTTGTAAACTGGAAGAGGATTTATTCTGAAAAAATAAAGGGGTAAAATGTAGTCAAGAATATTTACAAAGGAAGGGAGGGAGGGAGGAAGGGAGAAAAAATTGTCCTGCATCTCTCTCTAAGCGATATGAAATTCTAGTCTCAACTTTGGCCTCACTTGGCTCCAAGTAAGTTATTTGCCCTCTGGGCTTTAGCTCTGTCCTTTGTAAAATTAGAACAGAGATGGTAACCTTAGAAGGCCCTTCCAGCTACACAGATGCTAGGATTGTCCAATATTAACCTGGGGTTCATCAAGGGCCCAACTTGCCCAAAGGCCCAGGGAGGGAGACTCCACAGCAATCCACCGCCCTTGTATCTGCCCTGCTTCCAAAACTTCCTGAGGTCATAGCCACCATCGCCAGACTGGCCCTCCATATAACATCATATCAGGAGAGAATAAAAAATAGAAGCATTCATATGCCAGGGATTCCCATTAATCCTGATTTCCACGACATTGGAAATTACCACAACTATTAGTAACTCACTAAGACGTAGCCTGTTCCTCTACCAGAGTGTTGCGGCCCGTAGTGCTGCAGAAATGTGATTTCTCTGAACTGGCATGAACACAGTATAACCTGTCCCGTTGCTTAACTTTTGTGGTGAAGAACTTCCAGATATGCAGAGGATTCCCAGGTCCACTGGTATCACTACAGACAGACTCCAACCCTGTTCCTCACACATTTGTGATTTAATAAATATGTGCCTCGTGATTTTTTTATGGATGGAAGTTCCACGGAGGCAGTTACCAGGCTTACCTTACCCATTATTAGCTTGTGACTGGCACAGTAACTGATTATAAATTGTTGAATGAGTGAATGAAATCAAATAAATAAGCCTGACATTCGGGTTCAGCAAAGGAAGATCAGTCTGAAGATCTCTTTTGGTCTCTCCTCAGCCAAGCAGCCAGAGTGAGCTTGTCAAAATACATGACATATGTCACTGCTCTGTGGTAAAAGTAGTAAAAAGCCCAAGTCCTTACAATGACCTGTGATACTAGACAAGACCCACACCCTCCCCCCATCCATTACATGTCCACCTTCATTCCCTACCGCCCTCCCTACAGCCCTGACTTCCTTCCAGCTGCCTGGCCTCCCTGCCATTCCTCCAGCCTCGGGACTTCTGTGCTTGCTGTTCCCTCCGTCTGGAATGCTTGTCCAATCCATATTTGCATAGCTTGCTCCCTCACCTGCTTCCAGCAGTTAGCCAAATGCTACCTTCTACCAGATAGCCTATTCCCTTTCAAGATTTTATATTTTGCTCCATAGCACTAAAGGCATTGAACCCATTATATGTTTTCCGTATTTGCCATGTTTGTTGCCTAGCTCCATAATGTAAGCTCTGTGGAGGCAGGGGGTTTTGTCTCTTTGTTCACTGCTACATTCCCTGTGTCTAGAACACTCCTTGGCACTTAGCAGGTAAAACCAACGAAGGAAAAATACAAATATAATACATCCACATAATTAGGCTAGGGTCTGGATGATTTCTTCTTAAGAACAAATAGAAAATGAAAACATTGCAAAGCAATCTGTGCTTATTGTTCTAGATGGTCAGCTGTTAAGACGATGTTTTGAAACTTCAAAAGAACACCCCTTTCTGTTACCTATACATGTGACTCAGGAACTTACAGTACAAAGTATTGTTTCCAAATGGCAAAGTCCTGTTTCCACACAGCTAATTTCAAAGGACTTGTTTCATTATTATACTTAATTGGGCACATTTGGACTTGCCTCATTGCAATAAAAATCATCAAATTTCTCATCTACTCTGAAATACTCAAAATTGTAACCTACATGAGATATAATTCACATACCAAAATCTCACCATTTTACAGTGTACAACTCAGTGGTTTTCACTGTACTCCATGGTTTTACAAATACCACCACTAATTCCAAACCAATTTCAGCACCCCCGAAAGAAACTCCAGACCCACCAGGAGCCATTTCCTGTTTCTCCTCCTCTCGCATACCCTGGCAGCCACTAACCTACTTTCTGTCTCTATGGATTTGCCTATTGAAACCTAAGATTTTTTTTTAACACATGACCTATATATTCCAACCCCTGTTAAGTTTTAAAAGCCTTGCCTGAGCTCCATGTTGTAGTAACCAAATAACTCGTCTTCCTCTTGGCACGAGTTCCTGGAACCACAAACATGTTGGTAGCTCTACACCTCAGTGGGCAGAGGTGGTGGAGATGGTGGAGGGAGAGGGGCTGAGCCAGCCCAGCTGCTGTGGTGGGTTTCTTTCAAAATACAAAACTCACAAAATAAAGGAGATCTGTTGTAAGAAGAGGAGGAGGAGGGGGAAGATGGAAGAAAGGAAACGATCTCAAGAATCTCCCTATGTCTTCGGATGAGCCAGAGAGGGACACTGAAGACAACCCACATCCTACCTCACGCCCCAGCCTTTTCCTGCCTGGAGGTGATGAACAGAGTATGCCACCGTGCCAGGTGGGGAGAGATATAGGGGTTTTGATGTGGAGGACACTGGATAAAACAATGAGTGCATACGTTGGGTAAGATAATTCAGTTCCATACACAAACACAAATAATAATGTGGCCCAGAGTAGGCATTCAATGAGCGTTAGCTAAATATCTTAATGTAATTAATAATGAGCTGATGATGTATGTGGAAGCTCTTTGTAAAATATACAACACTGTACAGATGCATCATCTATTTTTCCTGATCTAATTTCTTCTCCTTCAGGTCATTCCATCATTGTCGGGAATTACTTAGACCAACTGAGATCAGGGGTGGGCGGTGGCGGGGGGAGCAAGCTCTGCCCTCCAGAGTTTATAATCTCCTTGAGGAGACTGAAAGAAAGGAAGTGAAATAGCCAGGAAAACTTTGCAAACGCAGAGTGATATCTAATAAGGAAATTCTAAACCAAGGGTGGCTTTTCAGAGGCCTCTCTTGCAGGAAAGGATGGGCGTAGAAAAGGGGAGGTGGGGGAAGACAGTTGAAATTTGAGGGATCATATTCACTCAAGACAGACTGTTTTGCTCAAGCCTAAAAAGGCTGGAGATTTCTTGATATCTTACCTGAGAAGAGAATCTAAACTGGAACCTGCTGTGGCACTGTTAAAATCAAATCCCACATCCTTCAAAGCAAATCTTTCCAAGATTTCGAAGGTTCTATTTGATTCCTTGGAAATAACAAACACTTGCTTGCACTTCTCAGTAAACTCTTCATGATAGAAACGTTCAAAGTTGTGCTTAGAGTCTTTATAGACAAAAAAAATAAGTTTTAGTACCTTAGATTTATTTCACATTTTCCATTACATATGGTTATTATAAATGCCCAGGAAGGTCTCTCCCCCTCTGTATCCGTATCACCTTCTTTTTATGTTGGCACATTTCACAGCCCATTACGTATTCTAATGAAAGCAGACAATAGCCAAGTAATTTAATCTTCCTAAGGCTATTTGTATATGAAATCCTACTTAGGATTCTAAGTTATTTCTTGACCTCAGAATAACAAGGGCAAAAAAAAAAATCAAAACCTGGATTTGCTACATACATCCCCTCATCTTTTTTAGATTGTTATCTAAGTATCTAAGTATACTTAATTCAATCTTATGGCAAATGTATATATGTCTATCCATGGCAGGGGTTGGGAGAACGGGGTGTATTTTTGGACAAGATGCCCTAATACAATGACAACCATGGGTACAGATGTAATTCTGCCATTGGGCAAGTCCCTTAAACTCTCTGGTAAAATAAAGGGCAGGGCTAGATGCTCGGATCTCTGAGGGATTCCTTCTAGTTTCAATTTACTGTAATTCTAAACTCATAGTTTAATTAAAGTCAAGGTGTTCTGGACTGCCAAAATGCCCTTCTGTCTCTGAAGACACTTATATCCCCCAAGGTTTTGTTTTTGCTTTTAATGGAGGGAGGCTGTTATGCAAGAAAATGAACACTAGGTAGGTTAACCTGGTAGGTTCCCAAGATACTCACCTTGTGCCTCCACAGTTAACTGGGTTGCCCTCTGGTTCTGGTTAAAGCCAAATAGATCTGGAAGACCTACAGTCTGGCCAAAGTCAGCTTCAAATTTCAAGATCTTAGACAGAATTGGGAATGATCCCACCGTTGCCTGGGTCTCTTGAGGTAAACCTGAACCTCACCCACTAAACTCAAGTATCTTCAAGAACCTCAGAAGTGTTTCTAAGTGTTAAAAGCATGAACCAATAGCTCTACACTGCCTTACAATAACCACCGGCTTCCCAAATGGCCTTTTGTTACCCGTGTCCCAACCCCATCAGATTTTGGAACTACCTAGGTGATTAAAGGGTAGCAAAAATACAGAAAAAAAATAATATAGCACTTCCAAAGCCTAATTCTGTAACTTCTAATTCACACATTTAGTCCATAGATTATACATTCAAAACTGAAGTCTAAAGCAACCCAATTTTTCAATAACTAAAATCAAAGGCGAAGGAGAATAGATGGAGAAATATCCTGGCTCTAACCCAAATACACAGAGAGACTTGATTCTTGAGCACATTAGGAAATATTAATCTGTTAATGCAGGTCAGGTTGAGATTAGTCAAAGAAAATCACCATTAACCATATTTCAAGCTTTAGCCAAATGCATATATTCTTCCAGGACTCATCTGTTGCTATTCATTCTTATCAGCTATTTACTCTGTGCCTAATATGCGTCAGGCACTCTTTTTAGCTATTTTACACACATTATTACTCTCAAGGCGGTTAATGTTAACTCATTATGTAGAAAAAGAAACTAAGGCTTACCAATATTGTCATTTGCTCAAAGTTACACACAGCTAGGAACTGAACGTGAGATCGTGTGTGTCCTTAGACATTCTAAAACTTCAAGCTTATAGTAAATATTCAGGCTATTTTTTGACACTCAACCATTCACCCTACCCTAGTTTCTGTAACAGCCCCAGATTACCATCCGGTATCCCACCTGTCCCAACTCTCAGTTCATGTTATTCCAGTGGGTCTGACGCCACCTCCAGCTCGAGGGGGCATATGACCCAGGATGAGCTAATCAGAGCATCACCTGGCACCAGTGATTAAGTCAGATACAAGCATATGGTCCCAGTCAGGCTAATCAGAGACAGAAAGACTCAATGCTAGGACTTTGAGCTACTTCTGCTGGACTTGAACGTGGAGCTACTACAGCCATCTTCCTTCCACGAGGGAGGAGCCACCGATTTGAGGCAATATCAGGACAGCAGAGCCATGCTGAGAAATAGTAAGAAACCAGGGCAGGTAATATCTTTTGAGCCACTGGTAGAAGCCTGAGCTGAACCAGACCTAATCCTAGGCTTTAAAGTTATATAAGCTAATAAATTCCCTTTTTGTTAAAGCCAATTTGAGTCACCTGCAACCCAAAGAGTTATGATTGACACAATATTCTTTTCTAGGACACCAGAAGGATTTGGCTTGTAGGCAGAGTTGATCAGCACCAGTGGGATTTCACCACCCGCCTCCCTCCCCACCAACACTGCATTCAAATGAGTGTAGGTGAGACAACTCTGTCTGTTCAATTTGCTGCAGATCCACCTGCTCCCTATCATAAGGACTACTGCCTGCCTGGCCCCTGAAAGCATTTGGGAATGCACCACCTGCCGTCACTTTGCAATCTCACATTAACTGGGCCCTTACAACAGTAATTCATAAGCTTTTTTGGGTCATTGAACCTTTTGAGAATCTGATCAAAGATACAGGCCATCTTCTTACCCCCCACAACACACATATGCCATGTAAACATACTATTTTTATATAGTTTTAAGGGCATCACGGACCCCTCCCGAAGTCTGTCTTTGAAAACTCTCTGCCATACTCTAATATTGCTCTGCCATTTCTTTCTATGTGTCTACAAGATACTACTTTCAAAAATAAATGTAATCACTTAATTTAGAGGCAGAATGGCAAGCTGTGCTTCTCAGACTTTATGTGTATGCAACCCACCTGGTCATCTTATTAAAATGTAAACTCTTATTCAGTAGATCTGGAAAACTTCTCTAACAAACTCCTAGGTAATGCTGAGGCTGCCAGTCCACGGATTACTGAGTAGTAAGCGTGAATGATGTTTAGCAATATCCCTGACCTCCACCCATTAAGATGCCAGGAGCACTCCCCCCAACTCTGACACCAAAATGACTTCAGACGAGGCCAAATGTCCCATTGGGGGACTGCCAGATATTTGAGGTCTTCTCCGAGCTCCTGGACTTCCTAAATAATCTTCCATGACCCTTTACTTGCTCTTATTTCCAGTTTCAAAAATCTTCAAGTGGAGAAATGCATGTTACAGAAATATGGTAACAATTTTAAATGCTTAGGGAGTATTTTCAATCATTTCAAGTCCTCTTACAATGAAGACATGCAAAACATACTAACTTTATGTTGATAATAGACTTAGCTATCTCCATGGTTACTCACCCATATTTTCAATCATTAAAGTGTCTGGGTAAAGTTGTTCTATCACAACTGACCAGTCCTTGAAAACCAGCTCACCCAACTCGTGGAGATCTTTATAAAATCGGACAGGGAGTCCTTTGCTAATAATCTTGGCCTTAAGTTTTCCAATCCTTAATTTTTCTTCATCATTCAGAGAGCCTGAGGACAGCCTCTCTTTTTCCTCATCTAACGTCTTCAGCAGCGTGGTTCCGGTCCTAAAGTAAAAATACTGAAACTGAGACTCATTCAGAAATGCTGCTTGGATGATCTCAAACTCCGTCAAACTGTAGTTGGGACTCTCCAGGACCCAAGGATAACCATTTTTTGCAGCAACATAGAGATTCTGCTCTACTGTGGATAAACTTGACAAGTCAGTTGCTTTGGAGAACAGTAAAGGCACGTGGTCAGGGAGAAAGTCCCCGTATGTCTGACCCAGCATGCAGATGAAAAAGGGAAAGCAGGTGTTCACATAGTCGAGACAGAGCTTCAGATACTGGGAGTGGAGACAAGAATGCTGTCTACACAGGTTGAAGGATAAGGGTGGCGGGGCCATCAACGCTGGCCACCTCAGGTCTACAGCTTTGAAATATGTGCCCCGGGAATTGCAGAGTTCATTGAGCTGAGGAAAGATGTAGTTTGCCAAAAAGTCTCTCTCTTCTTGAAAGTCATTCAGAGTTGAGCAGATGTAAGGCTGAATGGGTTTCTGGAACTTTAAAACAAATTGGGCATACCTGTCTACATTTGCCTTCTGGCTTATTTCACTTTGCTCAGGGGATGACATCGTGCTTAAAATATAACCATTTTCATCCTGGCATAGCTGCTGACATCCGCTGCTTCTAAAACTTCCTCCTAATTATGTTAGCTACAAACACTCTGAGAACTTTCCCCAAAATGGTTTCTTTCTTATTGACCTGTGAAGGGGAGAGGTGCCAACCAACGGACAGATCAGAGTTGAAAATCTAGTTTAAGACTGAAAAAGAAAAAAAAACATTCATTTTAGGATTAAAGGAAGTTCCCATTTCTCCTTGTCTCCCTCAAAGCTTTTGCTGAGATGCTGAGAACCATGAGGTGAGCAAGTACTGGACACGGGGCTCTCCCCCTTTCCCCCACCTACCATTCCACCTTCCCAGTATTCCTTCCACCCGCTGCTACTTCTGCTCCCTATAAATTTGGAAATCATGCAAGGGGACTTCCTGAGAGTGTGAAAAGAAAGACAAACCCAGAGAAGGATCCTCATCTGTCTAGGAGCAGAATCAGCCAAGACCCATGACCAAGACCAGAAGCAAGAATGAACAGGTAGGAAGTTGAGGTCAGGATTAGAAGATATCAAAGTGTCACAAGGCCCAAGACCAGTAATGCACCTGGCATCTGAGAGACACAAGGAAGTTGGGATCAAAGACCTTCACAGAGTTCTGTGATTTTTTTTTAATCTAAAGTTGAGCAGACTCATACAAATTCCACCCACCTACATGAGCTAGGAATTCAAATCCACTAAGCTAATGATAAAATACACACCCTCCAACACTGATGTAGATATGCTTGCACCTTGCTCAGAAGCAAAAAAATTAAATGAAAACGACCCCTTTTATGAGCTTTTTCTTAATGCAACTCATTTTCATACCAAGCATTGCTTTTTTTGGTTATTTTTTTTTTTGCCTCCACCTAAGGGGAAACATCATGTTACCGTGTATAGGGCAATTTTTCATCACAATCACCTGACAAGAATAATGCAGTACCTTTTTAAAAAGTGTTAACCCTTTTGCTTTTAATTGTTGCATTAGTTCAATAATAGATAATATTGCCACCCTACTTTACAGACAAAGACAAAGGTTCAAACAGGATAAGCAACATGTCCAAAGTCACTTGGCTAGTGAGTGGAGAGCCAGTATCTAAACACAGGTTAGCCTGACTCAAGAACAAATATTTTATAGTGTCTCTATATTATAGAGATAATGAAATCCCTTAAATCAATGGGTGGAAGTACCTATCCAATAAATGATATTGTAATTAATAGGTGGCAATTTGAAAAAAAAAGTTTAAGCTGTACTCTTCACACTACTGCACCCACCTCCCAAAAAAGAATCTTAAAAAAATGACAGAATAGGTGTCCTGGGTGCTTTATTAACAGACTTCTCTCCAGCCAAGCAGGAGGCTAGAATTCGATTATCAGCCCTTGCAAATATTCACCTTCTCCTAGTCCCATACAATCAGAGATCATTTCTATTTTGGCCTATACCATGTCCTCAACACCTAGTATAATGACTGGCTAAGAGTGGGTGATAGGTAAATATTTGTTGAATGAAAAAATTTAATATAATTTTTAAATGAAAAGAAAATATAATTAAATATTTACCAAACCTGGAGAGGACTTCCAAATCTTATAAGCTGTAGAAGAAATCACAAAGGATGGACAGATATGGTTACATTTTGAAAAGATGTAAAAGGAAATCAATGGACTATAAAAAAATATTTGCCACAAATAAGTTTATCTTTATTCTAAAAAAAAAAATACTGGCATCCTAGTAGACATCTAAGCAAAAGATACAAACAGATAAAAAGAAAAACAATACAAGAATACATATAAAAGCACGTGCAATCTTTCTAGAATTCAAAAAAAAACTTTAAAGCAATGATATAGATTTTTTTAAGTATAAATATGTAATGCTGGTGAAACTTTTATCTCATACATAGCTATGGAACCGTAAACTGGTAATTTTGGAAAGCTATTGGAAGGTATATTTAGAAAATAAATGACAATATATTTCAAAATATATTAAAGTGTTCACAATTTTTGACTCAGTGATTCTACTTTCTGGGAATCACTCCAAGGAATTAATCAAAATAGTAAAAAACTATAGCCATTAAGATGTCATTACATTGTTTATGATAGAAAAAAATGATAAAAGCAAGCAAACTAAGCGGTTTTTGATTTGCTAAGGGAATAACCCCAGATGGCAGGTTGTACATCTGTTAAAAAGACAGTTAAGGACTTCTGCTTGTAGCCATGATAGAATAATAGGGGCTAGACTTACCTATCCTCTTCAGAAAATTAGAAAACTAGACAAAATATATTAAATAGCTTTTTTCAGATATTAGATCTCAGGCAGTATGGGAATGTGAATCCTAAGAGACGTGAACCTAGTGAAGTTTATCAGAAAAAGAAGACTTCAGAACAAAGAGTATTACTAGGAATAGAGAGTGACATTACATAATGATAAAGCAGTCAGTCCACCAAAAAGACGTAACAATCCTAAGAGTGTATGCACCTAACAACAGAGCTCCAAAATATACAAAGCAAAAACTGGCAGAAATGAAAGGAGAAACAGACAAACCCTTAGCATAGTTAGAGATTTCAACATTCCCATTCATATATTATGTATTTCGTGATACAACGGCTGAGTTGAGCAGTGGAGCTTGTGAGCAGGCTTTGAGTACAAAGCCTGAAATATTCTCTATCTGGCCCTTTAAATGATATTCACTGACCTCCATTCTGGGCTACAAACCAAAACTCAACAAATCTGAAATTGAAACCATATAAAGTATGCTCTCTAACCACAACAGTTAAATAAAATTAGAAACGAATAGAAAGATACTTGAAAAATTCACAAATTTTGGGAATTAAACATTTCATTTCTAAATTTCTAAACTTGTGGGTGGAAAAGAAAGTAAAAAGAAAAATTAGAACAGTGATAGAAAGCAGATCACTGCTTGCCTGGTGGAGAGTGGGGAGGGAAATAACTTGGAAGGGTCGCAAGGGAACTCTTTAGGGCAATGGAAATTTTTTTAAGATTTTATTTATTTATGAGAGAGAGAGAGAGAGAATGAGGAGGGGGGAAGGGGCAGAAAGAGAAGCAGACTCTCCGCTGAGTGGGAGCCCGATGTGGGGCTCAATGTGGGGCTCGATCCCAGGACCCTGAAATCATGACCTGAACTGAAAGCGGACGCTTAACTGATTGAGCCTCTCAGGCGCCCTGGGAATTTTAATTATAGTGGTGGTTAGGTATAGGCATTCATCAAAATTTATCAACTGAACATTTAAAATAGGTGCATTTAAATTTCATGTAAATTATACTGAATTAAAGTTAATCCTTAAAGAGTCTGAGAACTAGCAAGAGGAAAATATTTATAAGGATTAGGTAAAAAGAAAACTATAGGCCATAGAAGACCAATTCCCTGGATTCAAGTTCTTATAGTAAGTTTCATAATTTTTCCATGCTTCAGTTTCTTCATCTGCAAAATGGGGATAACAGTATCTATATCATAAAATAGTTGAGAAGATCAAACAAGTTATTAGATGCAAAATGCTAAGAACAGTACCTATAACAAATATTCAATGAATGTTATTATTAGAAAAAATGCACATGAGAAAAAAACAGGAAAGAAAAATGATATGGTAGCCGTGTAAGAATGGCTAATTGTGGCAGATTGTAGCTTATCTATTTCTCTAATCAAAATGACTGTAAATTGTAGCTTTATTATTTTAATTTTTTAAATTAAAAAATCATAATCTCTATGGGCACCTGGCTGGCTCAGTTGGCAGAGTATGCAACTCTTGGTCTCGGGGTTGTGGGTTCAAGCCCCATACTGGGTGTAGGGATTGCTTAAAAATAAAATCTTAGGGGCGCCTGGGTGGTTCAGTCTGTTAAACATCTGCCTTTGGCTCAGGTCTTGATCTCAGGGTCCTGGGATGGAGCCCCACATCAGGCTCCCTGCTCAGTGGGAAGTCTGCTTCTCCCTCTCCTTCTGCCCCTCCCTCCCCTGCTCATGCTCGTATGCGTGCTCTCTCTCTCTCTCAAATAAATAAAAATCTTTTTTGAAAATCTTAAAAAAAGATAAAATAAAAAATAATAATCTCCACACCTTGCTCTACAACTGCTAATAATGAGCCTTCCCAGTTTTTGCAGAAATAGGGGATTAAGGTGGGGGAGAGCAGGAGCAAAAGAAACCTAGATGGAAGGAGTTATTTTTGAATGGAAAGAAAATATAGAAAAGACATGACTTTTAATTTTTAAAACAATTTAAGACCAAAAAAAATGTTAACTGGAAGCTTCATTTTAACCACAAGAGCAAAACACTTATCATATGCCACAAATAGATAGTAGCCATAAAAATAAATGCATTAAAAAGCGAACTGTGAAAAAATTCTAGTTAGATACACTTCTCTTTTTACTGAATAGATTAACATGTATTTATTAGAGAGACATTTAAGGCAAACTTGTACCAAACTAGCTTTCTCTTGGCCTCATCAAAAAGACTGAAGCAGAATTGAAAGGTCCAACAACTGCACCAGGGTATCAAAGTTATTTAATATCTGTCCCTGGCCCATCTGATAGCAGTAAGGGGAATGAGAGTGGGTACGCCCCTAGAGGTTGAACATGGGTGTTGGAGTCTTACAAACCCTGCCTCAAACTGACTCTACACTGGTAAATCTTTGAGAAATGAGGACCACACCCTTGTGACAGGATTAAATGAGACCTGGCATAATAAGCACCTAAGAGTGCTAAAAATTTGTTTTAACCCTGCTAAAATGGACTTCTCATAAAGAAATATCCTTCTCAACAGATTTCTTAAACAAGTTATCACTGTTTATTTATAATCTACAAGGTCCATACTAAGCCCTCAACGTTTGCTATTCCCATTGCTGTCAACGTTAATATTACCTTTACCGCAAATGTTTGCCTTCATATTTTGTGATAAAACAGCCTCAACAGCATTGCTCCATATATCACTGTACTTAATAACTATGAGAATATCTATTAACTGGTCAAAAGTTCCTCTGAC